CTGAGACTAACTCAGGACTCAGCTAACCCATCTCTCAAAGCCTTCTAGTTGTAGACCGTTTACACTGCATAGGACAGCTGTTTATCCAAGACTTTCTATCCCTACAATTCCTCTCTGTATAGGGAAATAACCTGCGATGGAGAGAGCTTGTTTGCAGCGTTAGGTCCCATGTGCTTTCTAAGACAGGCTTACACAGCTGACTCTTCTCCTCCTGTCTGTACCTCAAGTTCAGTGGCGTGTTTTAAACACACTGGGAGATGTTCCTTGTCGCTGCCACTGCATCTCCCACCATTGTGTGTACTCTTGGGAGCATGGGGCTGTGTCTGGCCTCCCAGAGCTGGCCTGAAGTCCTGCCCCAGAGGGCTGTGGAGTCCCAGGCTGCAGTCCCATCATCTCGGCTGGAGATGCTGGGGAAGGACCCTGGACCAGGACAAGCCCTTCTGCCCCAGACTTCTTCCTCCTCCAAGAAAGACTCCAATTTCTTAGAAATTATGGGCCTTGAGTAGGTGGAGTCCAGCCTTTGTTTCCTTTGGGAGATTTTTCTGACTTGTTTAATCTATTGACACTTCATACGGCTGACTCAGGGGCTCCTCTTCTTATTGTCATCTGCTCAGTGTTTAGCTTAAGACAAACTGTGTGTTATTTGTAAAACACACCCCCTTTCCCTATAGGGTGCATACCATGGTATCCGTGAGAAAATGATTACAATGTATGGTGTGTAATGTTCTCTACAAACAAGGCTCCTTTCTTTTGTCCTCTCCTGCCCCAGATCCCGTGCCCCAACCCCATATCCTGGCTCAGTCACCATCCATCGCAGCAGGCTGGTGCAACGTCACCCTGGAGTGCAGGGCCCCAGGGGCCACAAAGGACCTGAACGTGACCTGGGAGAGCAGGGGCCTCCCCTTGGAGCTGGACCAGAGAGGGACACCAGGACCAGCCCTTGACTCCTGGACCCTGGCTGCAATCCTACCCCTGAGTCAGCCCAACGTCAGCTTCACCTGTGTGATCAGCAATCTCATGGACCAGAAAACTGTCACCAGAAATGTTGGAGACATCTGTGCCCAATGTGAGTGGGAAGGGGGACCTGGAGTTCAGGCAGCATGGGGGCCTGCGGGTCTGGGCTTTTCTCCCTGTCATGTGTATTAGCGACACTGTCCACCTGGTCACCTACTCAGACGCCTGTGAGTCCCAGTGACCTTGCCTCTGCCTTTGAGCATCTCACCTATGCATGCCTTCCTCTCCCAGCCACCCACCATGTCCTTGCCGGTACAGGCTGCAGCCTTCCTATGACTCTCCCACCCCATTTGTCCTGGAACACTCATCCAGACTGGGCTATGGGTAAAGCAGATGGGATTGTGACATTGTCTGTGTCCTCTGTGGGAACCTGATTCCAGCCACCCCCTGCAGGATTTGGATCTTAGATATTCCTCCACCCACATTGCTGGTCTCCCCCACTCGCTTCAAACCAAGGCGCTGCCTGTAGTTCCCTGAACGTGTCCTGCCATTGCAAGATTATGAGCTTCTGGACATGCTGTGTCCTCTCCCATGAGCTGACCCGAGTGTCATGTGCTTCCCTTCCTGTCTTACTGCTGAAGGATTCCCCTGAGGCGGGCTGGCTTCGTGGGGTGAAGACTGGGTAGTGGCACAGGGCCCCACACTTAAAGGTCTTGGTTTAAAATTCTGCTGTTAACCAGTTTGAACAAGGGCTCCCCATGTTCCTTTTGCACAGGGCCTGCAAGTGATGTAGCCTGTCCTGCCCTCAGGCACCACGTCCTTAGGGAGCTGTCCGTGGCCTCCCCACACTGAGCAGTGATGATGGCTTTGTGTCTTTGTCTCCTCTGTAGACTGGACAACCCTGAGTGCAAGGCCATGTCTTGTTTTCCTTTGACTCCCTGTGCCAAGCCAGCTTCTGGCAAAGTTTGCTCACAGCCAGTGTTCCTGGAATGAATGAATTACCGGGACCCTGTGTGCAGCCCTGTCTTCCCTTTCTCTGGTAGCAGCTAGAAGGTCTGGTGTGTCACTGCCACTTAAACTGCCTGTGACCTTCTCCCTTGAACCCATCCTGAGTCTCAGCTAACACATAGCATGGCCAAAAGGCCCTCTGGGGAGAGACTCCTACCTCCCTCCGACCCTCCTCCCTGCCTGCCCCTGCCCTGCCACAGTGGGGGTGCTGGCGACTCCCAGGGATGGCGTTGGACAGAGCCATTCCCTGAACATTGTGCTCCTCATTCCTGCAGTGACCTCCTCTGAATATCTGGAAACTCCTACTCCTCCCTCAAGACTCAGTCTACCCACACCTCCTCTGGGAGGCCCTCCTGAAGCTCTAGCACAGGTTTAAACTTCTGTTAAAGCAGGGTTCCTCTGTGTGGCCTTTGATATATTCTCAGTCTTCCCTCCTGGGTGATGAGCTACTTTAGGGCATGGACATCCTCTTGTTCATCCCAGTATCCCTGGCAAAACCAGCAGCTCCGTGTCTGGTTGAATGAGTGGATCTGCCGTTTTCCTTCCTCTTCAGCCTCTGCACCAGACCCCTTCGTGCCCCTCCACCCGCTTCCTCCCTGTGCTCCCCCTTGGAAATGGGTATCTCAAGTTCTCTCCTAACTTACTCTTGTTCATTCTTTGTATGAGGGAAACAGATTCACATGGATGGGACATGGCTAGACTGCTGCCAGACATGCTAAGGGCTACTGTGGTTTTGATGTTGACCCTGGGAGTTATATCATACCTTTGGAAGACATGTGGCAAAAAGAAGAAGAAGACGGAAACAGAACGAGGCAGGTTGTACTTCTCCTTCCAGCCCCAGATGCCTCCCCTCCTCCACTAGAACTTGGCCCCCTATCTACTGACTATGGCTGCCAAGAGAGACTCCTGCAGATGGGATGATGGGTGTGGCATGGCTTTGGTGCTCATGGCAGTGGGAGGGATACAGGTCTCCAAGGCACAGATTTAAGGATTGTCTGTGTGTGGCTCAGGTGTCCACTTGCAGGAGGAGCAGAGAGTTGAGGATGGTGGCATCCACTATGAAGAGCTGATAGAACAGGGGTCTCAGCTGGGTAAGTATAAGGCTGGAGCCACTGGCCATCCAGGCTACTCCCAGGTCCCTCACTGCCCAGCCCTGGGCTTCCAAACCCAGGCATCTGCTACTCTGACCCTGCGGCTTGTTCATGTGTTTCTGGACAATCAACACCACTTACTAAGAAAGATTTGTAACTGGTGTGAATGCAATGCTTTGCACTTTGGAAATTTCATAAGCAGAGCATGTCAGTGGGCACTGCCTTGCAGGTCCCTCCGGGGCAACTTTATCCCTCAGCTGCTCCAGGACCCCTCTGTCTTGCATTCCAGGGCATCAGTGAACTACATGTGGAAGAAAAGTTTCCTGTGACTACTGTCTACAGTGAGGTCCGTAAATCAAGCCGGGCCATGAATGTCATTTAATGGGAGGAAGCAGGAGAATTGGCACCACTGGGACACGTGTGCTCTGAGCCTGAAGCCTGCAGACACCTGCCTCTGCCACCTGCAGTTCAGCACCAGCTGCCTCTGGTCTATCTTAGCCTTACTTTGGTGACATACGCTCTATGGGCATTCATGGCCTGGTTACGTTCTGTGACCTCCCAAAACTGTCCTCATAATCACGATTCTCACCCCTGCCAGGTGAGGGCTCTTGGTCTGTCATTCAGAGGGATTCTGACTCTTCTTCAAAACCTTCCCAAGGGGACCCTGTCTGATTGTGTAGGGAGCAAATCCCTATCACTTCTGCTGTGTCGCTTGTGTGTGTAATTCTGACAACACAAGGCCGGGTGTTCGAGCTGTGCTGACGTGTTGACTATGCTGCAGAGGAGGAGTCAGGACCCGGGTTTTACCAGCTGAGTTGGGGTCAAAGGAGGCAGAATGAGTGGGTGGAAGCCTGCAAAGGGATTGGCCTAAGGCTTCCTTTGGGGATCTCACGTGGACCTCCTTTGGGTGTGTTAAGCAGTGTGTTGGTGTGTGTTGGTGTGCATGTGCACGTTGTGGGGAGTGTGCAGGGCACATTATGCAAGTCCACCAGGGACGCCTTCCTTTTCTCCTTTGCTAAGCTGGACCTGAGCCTCAGCCTTCACCCGCAGACCCAAACTTATCTTTCTGTGGAGTGGAAAGAAAAATTCCTATGATCTCAAGCCCTTCCCAGCCTTCTGTTTCTCAGATTGACCCTTAGGGGCAAAAGTTGGGGATTGTCTTTGAAGCTACTGGGAAGGTCTGACCCAGCATCTCCAGCCTCTGCTTATACCGACCCTCAGGCCCCTGTAGTCACGCTGGCTCCATACCCTACATCAGCCTCTTCCTTTCTCACTTGCATCCCTGTGCCTGAAATGATGGTTTACTCTTCCTGATTCTCACCCTCACCTCTGCCTGTTGAATCAGCCATCCGCCAAAAGCCTCCTCCCAAGATATTGTTCATGGAGGCTGTCTGAATCCTGAAGGTTTGGTACTGGTCTGTCCCACATCTGATCTCTCTGAACACCTTGAATATTATGTAAGGCACCTGACACAATCTACCCTGGATTGGAGCCATGAATCTTCCTGCAGGGCTCCCTCCGGAGGGTGGTGGGGCCATGGGAGAACAGAGCAAGGAGACAAGCACCCTCTGTGTGGGCGGGTCTGGGCTGCCCTCCTCCCATTCCATGCAGGCTTAGCAGAAGGGGACGCCACACAGAAGCTGATGACAGTCTCTCTGGCGTGGCTCCCTTGGAGGCAGGGTTGGACATGATGCCCTTCCTTGATTATATCTGCCCGAGGTCCTAGTTGGGGACCTCCTTACCCCACCATTAGCCTCTGGTTGCCTGAGGCCCTGGTGCAGCTTCCACCACAGTGTGTGGGTGTTTCTTCCCTCCGTTGGGGTCCCCACCTTGCCGCATCCTGTTTGTGTCCCAGCTCTTACACAGAAGTGGGCTGACTCTTGTTCCATGAGCTGCTGTGGCTTGTCTGGTGGCCTGGATTTCTGGGTCTCTTGGCTCCCCTTGCAGCTTAGAAGAGCTCAGCTGCCTCATTGCTGAAGTCAGAAAGCACAGGTCTGAATACGGCCTCTGCTAAGTGCTTGATCACTGTGACCCAATGCTAGGAGCCTGCTGATGGTGAGGGAGGAGCGGGGTCCCTCTTCTCTTTCAGCCTGAGCAGAAGTTGTAGGTGTGCCAGTCTCTGCATTGGCTTCTCACCAGCCTGGTCACGGTTGGGCATCAGTGCCCTTCAGTCCCAGGACAGTGTATGAGAAATCCAGTTGTATAGGCAATAGGTTTCTTAGGCCAAACTAAAATGATTGCCGGTGTGTCTTTTACTGGCCTTCTGGTAAGGCATGACTCAACACACTTCTGTAACCAAGGTGTTATCTCCTATGTGAACCCCTGTGATCATGCTTTCCCATGGCATATTGTCACTATTGTTCTGAGCCACACAAAAGCACTCCCCTTGTTCTTGGCCATGCTTTCACCGCTGCTGCATCCCTCCGACAATAAAGAGCATATCTCACCTGCCGGCTGCCACCTGTCTCTTCTTTAAACTCCCAGAAGCCTGCTCTGGTGCCCTTGCTGGGCACAGAGCCCACTCCCCGCAGGCAGGGTAAGATGTGAGCACCCAGCTGACCTTCCCACTCCACCTAAGGCAGGAAAAACAAGGAAAGAAACTGGGCTTTTCAGCCTATAGGGAACCAGGTTTTGCCTGAAGCACTTTGCAAATATTATTTCTTGTAGTTTTACTTTAGGGGTGGTATTGGTAACTGGCATCCCAAACTAGTTGGTGGCAGAGCAAAGCCTTAAATCCAACACTGGACGATTCCAAAGTTCCTGCCTTTTCCCTTCACCGCGTAGTCACTGAAGACCTTTGCTAGGGTTTGAGTGTTGTGTTCCTCCACAATGCATGTTAGATCTTAATCCCCACTGCAACAGCATTAATAGGTGTGACCTTACAAGGTGATTATGTCCCTCAAATGGGATCAGTGCCCTTACAAAATAGCTTGAGGACTTAGTGGAGTCCCTTTAGCCATTTTGCCATGTGAGGGTGCTGCAAGAAGATGACATCTATGGAGCAGAAAGCAAGCCCTTACCAGACATGAATCTCCTGGCGCCTTGATATAAAACTTCTGAGCTTCCAGAATTGTGAGAAATAGACTTCTATTATAAATAAATTGCCCTGTCTAAGGCATTTTCTTATAGCATACAAATGCACTACGATGACCTTGGAATCCTGGAGTATTCAGATGGGAATACCCTCCTGTTTTTTCTCTTCCAGGATCCTGTCCTCCTGTGTCAGGTGCCTCAATTCCGGCTGAGTGCATTAGTGATGGGACAGCTTGTGACTGAAAGAGGAATTACACCTGAAGTGACAATGGGGCCCTGGTGGGTGGGGTGAAAGACAGGCAGTGAGCGATGTTGTACTGAGGTGCAGACGAGGCATTCAGAGAAGAGATGTTCTCTTCCTTGGTTTTTATCCAAGTTCTCTCCTCTCCGTGTCAGGGATATCAGCGCCCATATCCTCAACCCCTTTACATTATAATTTGTAGTGTCATTCAATAGGCTTTATGTGAGTCTCTCATTTAGACTTTCAACAACTCTGTGAGGCAGAAATCCCCGTTGTACAGGTGGGGAAACTGAAATCCAGAGGTTAAGTACCTCATGCAAGTCTCCCGAGTGTGAGTGGCAGAGCATGATTGGCGTCCACAGGGGACCTTAGTTTCCCTCATTTTGACTCCATTTTATTCATTGTAGACATTTGACCAGTCTCTTTGTTCCATTGGGGCATCCTTCATTAAGCTTCTTGTATTCCTTCTTTCCTCTCATTCTTCATTCCTGTTTTCTACTTTCATCTTCACCATGTTAACATTCCCACCAATAATATGTAAGGATTTCTCCACACCCTCCCCAACTCTTGTTATTGTCCATTTTTTAAATTATAGCCATCCCAGTGGGTGTGAAGTGGTATCTCATTTGCTTTTGATTTGCATTTCCCAAATGACTGATGTTGTTGAACATATTTTCTTGTTACTTTAACCATTTGCCTACCTTCTTTGGAAAAATCTTTTTCTGTCTTTCATTCTCTCCTGTCATGCATGACCCCCACCCCTCCATTGAAACTGCTCTTGTCCAGGTAGCCAGGGAACTCTGTGTCTTTAAATCCTGTGGTCGTTTCTCAGTCCTCATCTTCCTTGACCTGTCAGCAGCAATTGACACATCCTTCCTTGAAAACCTGTCTTTAGCTTGAGAAAGATCTGACTTGTGTTCTTGGCTCTACATTTGAAAGCTGCTTGACTTTGAGCATAACCTTAGTTATGTAATTAACACAAACTGTGAAGTCTCTTCATATCATTTTCTCTCTTTTTAAAAAAATTGTGTTTGAAAATTAGAAGCAGTAAATATAGCATAGCTTACATAGTGCTCGGAGTGGGCACTTAAGAAATGGTCACTGTTAGGTCCAGAGCTGAGATAGAGACACTCACGAAGCTTCACAGGTAGCAAAATGCTGTTTATTTTGAGCATCTGGGTGCAGATGGGTGGAGGATAAAGAGCGTCCAGGAGAGAAGAGGGGAGAGCCTGGAATTTTATAGAGGGTTTTTCCCGGGGGAGTAAGGGAGCCAGAACAGCCATTTGTAATTCTTTTTCAAACAATCACCTCCTAGGACCCCTGTCCTGGTCACATCCATCATTCATTTCTGGTGTCCTCCTTATCAGGAGAGCCAGGGAGGGGCAAACTTCCTCTCTCTCAGAGAGAGAATGCTGGCTGCAGCTGACTGTTAGATTTACAAATTCCAGGGACTCTCCAGACTCCTGTGGCTCTTGTTTTACAAGCCTAAGTTTTGCATTAACCAGATTCTGTCCTATAACTTCTTTTCGGGTTCCCACCTGGAACAAACCTAACAGTCACTATGATTATTTCTTCAATGAGCCAATTTATGTTTTTTCGGTAAAGGTGTTCTTATTTAGAGACTAGTCCCAATGTAATTTTTAGAGGTTGATGCTGTTTTAAAGTGTCAAGTGGTATTTCTTTTCTTTTTCAAAAAATATTAATGCAGCAATATTTTGAAAATTATTAATAGTTTTTTCTGTTTGGCTTTTCTGAATACATTGAGTTCATGACTTTACTTAGTAGGCATGAGACAAGCATGTGCCCAAGAGAGATTAGAGTTTGACATAAACGAATGGAAAGAGGAGGAACAAAAATGTTCAGCTTCTGGCATGCAAAATAGGAAAACAGGATATTAGAACAAGCCAAAATGTGGGTGAATATGAGAGAGAGAGAATGAAAGAGAAAGAGAAAGAGAGAGAGAGAGAAAGAGAGAGAGAAAAACATCTATGTTGGCCTGAGGTCGTTGTGGTACAGAGAGGAATGAAAGAAGGGGCACCAGCAGTGGTAGAGAGCTAGAGAGCCGTGGTGTCATCATAGCTAACTGCAACCTCCAAATCCTGGGCTTAAACGATCCTCCTGCCTCAGCCTCCTGAGTAGCTAAGGCATTTTGTTATAGCAGCCAAATGGACTCAGACAACCTTGGAATCCTGGAGTATTCAGATGGGAATACCCTCCTGTTTTTTCTCTCCCTAGGATCCTGGCCTCCTGAGTCAGGTGCCTCAATTCAGGCCGAGTCCACTAGTGATGGAACAGCAGGTGGGTGAAAGAGGAATTACAACTGAAGTGACAATGGGGCCCTGGTTTTTATCCAAGTTCTCTCCTCTTCGTGTCAGGGATATCAGCGCCCAGATCCTCAACCCCTTTACATTATAATTCGTAGTGTCATTCAGTAGGCTTTATGTGAGTCTCTCATTTAGACTTCCAACAACTCTGTGAGGCAGAAATCCTCATTGTACAGGTGGGGAAACTAAAATCCAGAGGTTAAGTACCTCATGCAAGTTCTCCTGAGTGTGAGTGGCCGAGCATGATTGGCATGCACAGGGGACCTTAATTTCACTCATTTTGACTCCATTTTATTCATTCTAGACATTTGACCAGTCTCTTTGTTCCATTGGGTCATCCTCCTTGAAGCTTCTTTTAATCCTTGTTCGTGTTATTCTTTCATTCCTATTTTCTACTTTCATCTTCACCATGTTTACATTCCCACCAGCGATATGTAAGGATTTCTCCACACTCTCCCCAACTCTCATTATTGTCCATTTTTTAAATTGTAGCCATCCTAGTGGGTGTGGAGTGATATCTCATTTGCTTTTGATTTGCATTACCTAAATGACTGATGTTGTTGAACATATTTTCATGTGTACATTAACCATTTGCCTAACTTCTGTGGAAAAATCTTTTTCTGTCTTATTTCTCTCCTGTCATGCATGACCCCACCACTCCATTGAAACTGCTCTTATGCAGGTAGCCAGGGAACTCTGTGTCCTTAAATCCTGTGGTCGATTCTCTGTCCTCATCTTCCTTGACCTGTCAGCAGCAATTGACACATGCTTCCTTGAAAACCTGTCTTTAGATTGAGAAAGATCTGACTTGTGTTGTTGGGTCTACATTTAAAAGCTGCTTGACTTTGAGCATAACCTTAGTTATGTAATTAACATAAACTGTGAAGTGTCTTCATCTCCTTTTCTCTCTTTTTAAAAAAATTGTGTTTGAAAATTAGAAGCAGTAAATATAGCATACCTTAGATAGTGCTCGGAGTGGGCACTTAAGAAATGGTCACTGTTAGGTCCAGAGCTGAGATAGAGACACTCACGAAGCTTCACAGGTAGCAAAATGCTGTTTATTTTGAGCAGATGGGTGGAGGCCAAAGAGCGTCCAGGAGAGAAAAGGGAAGAGCCTTGGGTTTTATGGAGGGTTTTTCCCGGGGGAGTAAGTAAGGGAGCCAGAACAGCCATTTGTAATCTTTTACAAACAATCACCTCCTAGGACCCCTGTCCTGGTCACATCCATCATTCATCTCTGGTGTCCTCCTTATCAGGAGAGCCAGGGAGGGGCAAACTTCCTCTCTCTCAGAGAGAGAATGCTGGTTGCAGCTGACTGTTAGATTTACAAATTCCAGGGACTCTCCAGACTCCTGTGGCTCTTGTTTTACAAGCCTAAGTTTTGCATTAACCAGATTCTGTCCTATACATTCTTTT